AAGAACGTTGATGAACAATACCATTTTCTAAGAAAAAACCATCAATTCTAAACTCAACTCCATTGTCACTTCGAATGATTTTAATCATCTTACCAAATTGAGTAAACACATATGCATGAAATCGCTTCACAAATTGTCTAGTTTCAGCTTTAGTTTTCATCAAATGCACCCATGTAAATCGTGAGTAATCATCAACTATAGTAAGAAAGAAATATTCACCTTTCAAGGAACAAAACGGGAAAGGTCCCCATATATCAACATGAACCAAATCAAAACAAGCTTTCGAACTAATAGTGCTTAAAGGAAATGGAGAGCGTTTGTGCTTAGCTAAATGGCACACATCACATGCTACACTCTTAATTTTTGAGGTATCAATATCACAAAGGAGATGGAGCTTGTTGGTTGGAAAATGACCCTGCCTTTGATGCCAGAGCTCTGTGCTAATGACTGCATAACATAATGCTTATTCTGTGACTTTGGTTCCACCATTATGTATAGGCTTTTTTTTCTTCTCTAGCTAAACCAGTTATCTGCCCACGAATCCCCTGGATTATGCACTGTTTAGACATGAAAATCAGTCTATGGGCAGTATCTTCAATCAACTTACTCACAGAAATAATATTAAATTTGAAAGATGGAATATGCAGTGCTTCTAGGTACAAAATGTTATTAAGCTTGACATCCCCTACATGCTCAACTGTTATGCATTGGCCAATGGGAAAGTGCACTTTAACCCCATTCGCCATGTGACAAGTGATAAGAGAATCAAGGGAGCACACTATGTGATTTGTGGCTCCCGAGTCAAGGATCCAAGTTGAAGAACTTAAGGAAAGGGAGTTAATAAAAAATAATAAAATAAAAAAAAATAAAATAAAAAACTTGCCTTCATTATCTGTGTGTAGTTCATCAAATTTAGGAGTTAAAGCATTTGCAGCAGCCAAATTCGAGCTAGACGATCCGGATGGCTGAGCTGGTTGATTCTGTAGGACTGAGATGAGCTTTTGTAACTGTTTAGATGTTATCTCCAGGTCTGAGTTATTCAAAACTGCTGCTGTGACTGGCTTTTACTCTTGGATTTATAGCCCTGAACCCAACCGGGAGGAAATCCGTGTTTCTTATAGCATCTATCAATTGTGTGTTCGGTCATACCACAATATGTACATTTTGCCTTTGCACCACCATTAAATTTTCTGCCATTATATGAGGATGCTGCAACAGTTTCCTCACTCGCATTGCTGTGAACCGCATTGGATTGATTGAGATCAAGGTTTCCTAGAGTCAAATTTCTCAAAGCAATTTGTCTTTCCAGTTTCTCAGCCATAACAAAAACTTTGTAAACTTCTGGAAAAGGATCTAAAACAAGCACGTTTGATTTCAAGCTATCATAATCCTCATTTAGACCTTGCAAAAAAAAAAAAAAAAAAAAAAAAAAAAAAAAAAAAAGAATTACCTTATCCACTTCTGATGACTTCAACGAGATCACATGAGCATTTTGGAGTGCATTTGCAAAGAGGAATCCGCCTTAGATTATTCATCTGCTCCCATAAGGTTCTACTCTTAGTATAGTATTTGTTGATGGAGAGAGGTCCCTGTTTAAGGCTATAGATCTCACTCTGTAAGATAGAGATACGTTGTGCATCTCTTTGTGAGAAGCGTCTTCGTAGATCCTCCCAGATGTCTCCCGGTTTGTTGAAGTGCATCACACTATGCACTATGGATGGATCCAGTGAGTTGAAAATCCAAGAACAGATCATTAAGTTGCATCTCTTCCAAGCCGCATAATGTGGATGTTCTCTGCTCGGTAGTGCAGTACTTCCATCAACCAGCGTCCATTTGTTTTTGACTTCTAATGCAATCTGCATAGACACACTCCAAGTGCCATAGTTCGTGCTCCCTGTTAATGGAGGAGTCACAAGAACCGTCGATGGACTGTCATTGGCGTTGAGGAAGAGAGGATCCTCTAGATCCCCAGTGTTGTAGTTCCTTTGATTCTGTGAAGCTGTGTTCCCCTGCGGAACATCCTGAGGAACTGCGACACGAGGCTGATCAACCAGCGTAGTGCCGTGATTGGAATCGCCGGTGACAACGGCTGCGTAATTGCGCCATGGCTCCGGTACCATGACGGGAGCTTTACAGGTGGAATCGAGAAGATGAAAAGAATATTTTATTATTATGTTCTTTTGTTACAAAGATCACCAGTAACCTCAACATATATATAATGAAGATAAAAGTAGTGTAACTGCCCAAGATAAGGAAAGAGCCCAAGATAAGGCAAGAACATAAAAGTGACTGCTAGAATTTAGGAATGAATTTCTGCATGATTTGTGGAATCTAATACATAACTTAGAATTTAGAATGCATAAGATTAGACCGTCAGGTGCATAACTTTAAAACTTAAGATGCATAAGTTTAGATCAATAGATGTATAACTTTAAAATGTTATCTTTGTACTATAAGGTACATTGCAATGTAATGTGCATAGAGTTTAGTAGCCTACGAGAGCATATATTTTATAATTTTAATCATTAGGCGCATAACTTTGTTGCTTTAGGTGCATATCTTTGGAACTTTCAGTGCATAATTTTCAACCTTTAGGGGGGGCGTTTGGTTCAGGTCATCTTAGCTTACCTAGGTAATCTGAGTTTGATAATGTTATATTACCTTGTTTGGTTCAATTTATGAGATTATCAGGTAATGTTATAATACCTGAAAGCTGATGTGGCGGTAATGTTTCAAGGTAATGTGATTACCCCCATTTTTTTTTAGGTAATCTTAGATTACCTTGAATTATTCCAACTTTGCCCTTGTTAACTAATCCTAATAATAATAATAATAATAATAATAATAATAATAATAATAATAATAATAATGATGATGATGATGATGATGATGATGATGAAATTAATATATATTTATATAATCAAATATACATATGTGTATATTTATATATTTAGTTTTTTTAATATTTAAGCTTTGATATACATTCATAGATATAAATACATACACAGACATAATATATATATATATATATATATATATATATATATATATATATATATATATATATATATATATATATATAGAATTACGTTCTGGTGCGGTTAGAGTGCTCAGGTGCGGTTGTGCGGTTTAATCTGGGCCATTCATCTCGCTTAAATCAACGTCCAGGATTACCAAAATTAAAAAAAAAAATGCGGTGGCAATTTTGTAATTTTTGAATCTAGGTCAAAATTAATGTGAGCGGTTCTGTGATTAATGTGCGTGAGTTTTGTATATAAGATGCGTGAGTCTTGTGCATAAGGTGCGTGAGTTTTGTGCTTAATATGCGTGGAGTTGCGTTTAATGTGAGTAGTTGGTAAAACTTAAAGTGTGGGATTTTGTGTTTAAGGTGCGTGAGATTTATTCTTAATATGAGTGGAGTTTGTGCTTAATTTGCGTAGGGTTTGTGTTTAATGTGTGAGAGGTTAGTGATTAATGTCGGTAATTGTTGAAACTTAAAGTCTGTGAGTTAATACTTAAAGTGCGTGGGTTTTGTGCTTAATGTACGTGAGATTGTGCTTAATGTGCGTGAGTTTTGTACTTAATGTGCGTGAGTTTGTGTTTAATGTCAGTAGTTGTTGAAACTTAAGTCTGTGAGTTAATACTTAAATGCATGGGTTTTGTGCTTAATGTGCGTGAGATTGTGCTTAATGTGCGTGGGTTTTGTACTTAATGTGCGTGAGTTTGTGCTTAAGATCTAACACTTAAAGGTGCGTGGCTTTCTTCCAGACACGCGTTTTTTTTTTTTTAAATTTTCATTGATTTGAGCCGTTGATCTAGATTTGATCAACAACTCAAATATAACCGCACAACCGCACGGGAAGTTATACCCGCACATGAACCATTCCATGGAAGTTATATATATGTTATTGGGGACATTATTGTAAATTGATCCATATAACTTAAAATATAATCCTGAACCAAACAAGGTCATATTATATTACACCATCCAAACCAAACACAAGTAATCTTATATTCTCAAAATCTCACATTACATTCTAGGAGGTAATCCTATTACCTGGGATAATCCAAGATTCTGTGACCAAACACCCCCTTAGGTGCATAACATTGAACTTAATATGTATAACTTTGAAAACTAAATAGAGAAATGAGTACATAACTCTAGGAAGCATTTTTCTTTCTTCTTCTTTTTTTTTTTTTTAAATTTTATTCCTTAATTTAAAAAGAGTATCAATTCTATTTATTAATAATCTAATTTTTAAGTTCGTATTAATATTTTTAAATTTTTATTTTGATTTTTTTTAATATTGTCATTATATTAAGATAAATTGTCCATTTTTGAATTTTTAAAACATTTATTCCCATTATAAAATTATACACAACCAAACATAAATATTAGTAATCATTTCAATCCACCCTACTACCAAACTTGTAAAATACTTTTACCAAACTCATTACCATAAAGGTTTGCAAAATACTTTTACCAAACTCATTACCATAAAGGGTATTAGCGAACAAGCAAACTACTTGTATTTGTGTTCAGTAAGCATTGTAATAAACATAACAAACAAAATTTAGAACTCAAAACAAAGTCCGAACAATTGTAAGCTCATTTGCTAAGCAATCGCGAACAAGCTCATTTGTATATATATATAACAAATTGTGATCATAAACATGTGCATTTGTTTGTTTATTAAGTATTCATTAACATATTCATAAACGTGTTTGCTAATGAACAAGTTTGCGAACGTTAACAAACACGTTCGCAAACGTGTTCATTAACATTAACGAAAACGTTCGTGAATGTATTCGCAAACGTTAGCAAACACTAATAAACACTTAATAAACGAACACTAACAGGATTTTCAAAACCTTAACAAACAAACACGAACAACCTCTATCCGTTTATTATGTTCGTCTCATTAACAGCCCTAATTACCATTACCAAGTATTTGATACCCTTTCCAATTCCAATTCACATATGCAAACCAAACACACCCTAAATTTAACTCATCAAAACAGGGAAAACCATTAAAACACCAAAAAAAAAAAAAAAAAAAAACTTCTCCAGTGAAGTGTTCAAAAGGCTGAACTAATAGAAAACAATGTAAGCATGCACTAAATCTACATTCATCCAAAATGAAATTATCTTATGCATCCTTAAGAAATCCCATACGGCTTCCACTAATGAGCAAGGGCAATTCTTCCAGCAACTTGGTCAAGATCTCGCTGACCATTAGATGTGATTCTCCTTCCGCTATCAAAGGACACGAAAACAGCCAGAAAAATCAACACATAATAAGTAAATTATAAATGGCGAAAATAAAATTTAAAAAAATTTAAAAAAAATCTACTTGCTCCAAATCTTTTCCAATATAGGTTGCTTCTGATAAGTGTCCGAGCACTAGCTCATATTCATTTACAAGTTAATTAGATGAAACTGCATCATTTGGGACACTACTTGATACACCAATTTGGACATTTGGGGCATTTAGTATAGGGTATTACCCTAAAGAATATTAAAATATAAGGGATACTTTGGGCGATATGAGCTAAAATGCAATGCAGATTTGAACATTTTCAATATGAAGTTCAAAAATATGCTTTTAGATTTTAGCCTCCATATTCTATGTTATTATACTCTCTTACAGAAAATTTAGAAGGACATGTGTGTACTCCATAGAAGAACACCACCCCCACCCCCCGCCCCCAAAAAAATAAAAAAATAAAAATTGACACCCATCAAATCATTATTAGAAAAAGATTATGTTACTGAAATGGTACTTTAGACTATAAGAGGAAGACAAAAGACAAGGAAGCCTACCCCTTTGGGTCAAAATCAATGATGTTCATTCCCTGCAATTGCTGGAGTATGTGACGTGCAACGGCACCACTACTCTTACAGAAGTGGGGTGGAGCGCTGCCATTCCTCTTGCTGCCGCCATAAATTCTCTGAAAACCGCCAACGCCAATACCTCCTCTGAGGTAAATCTTCCTTGCCATAGAAGCTGTCAATAGTTCAGGGAAAAACAATCAACTCCTGAAAGGAAGAGAAGCAAATAGATATAGAGGGAGATGTTGTCAGTACTAACCAGCTCTGATGTAGTACCAGTCAGGATCATATGGTGCAAGCTCTTTCAGCCTTCCTGTTTTGACAATGTCAGTCCATTCAGGAAGCTCCATCTGGAAGAGAAACATTTATACTCCATCAGCAACAATCACACAACGAATATTATGCAAGGCAATAATGGAATTCAAGTTATACACTACTCTTCTTAAAAAAAACATATGATATTTAGTGCAGTTAATTCCATCTGCAGTTGTTATATGCAAACTCAGGAAGCTCCGTTTAAATTATAGAAAGAAAAAAAAAAACTTTGGGAAATTCCACAGACACAAGGGGCCAAAATCAACTATGTGCTACAACTTAGAAACATGACTATCAAATACCATAGGATAGATAATTTCACCTTTAAGCTCATAATGTCATATTCAAGTACCACAAAAGCCAGAAATTGAATATGGTAAATGGAACATGGCTATCAATCAAAATACTCATATTCATATAAAAAACTGACACACACACACATATACATGTATAAGAACATTCACAGATACAGAAGTCGTTGCAGGCATAAATAGGTTTATCTCCCAGACTCCCACCACAACAAAAATCCAGTTGAAATCAAGAAGCCAAACAAAGGTTCAAATCCAAATTATATTGCCAACTTGCATTTGACAATATTCATAATTGTAGTATCGATTTCTAAATTCGTGCAATAACCACATAAGTTTTGCATCCAAAACTAAAAAGAGTCGATCACAATTATATATCAATTCAAATTATATAATAAATTATAGAAATTACAGATATCAAGCACATTCGTACATCCGCATTATACGCGCGCGCACGAATATTATATAGTACTCGAATAAAACGTTAAGCGAACCTTGCCGGAGCGTTTGAGGTGAGAAGCGTAAGCTTTGACGAAGTCATGAGGCGAAACATCCTTGACAGTTCTAGCCGCCTCCATTTTCCGGTAGTTTTTGTGCTGCTACGGCGGTGGATCTCTCTGCTGCTGCAAAGGGAATGAGAGAAAATCAGAAATCGACTTTAGGGTTTAACTTTAAAGCTGCTTATTTAATATTTGCATTTAACTGGGCCTCGGCCATTGATGGGCTTCCAGTGTTTTAGGAGAAGCCCAACATAAGAAAAGTCAATCCTTATACCATCCAATTATTATAGTCTGTACCATAGTTCACACCAGCTATGTAGATCATATTTTGTATACTGTAAATTAATATATATTCAGTACAAAAATAATGTACATTTAGTACAAAACTAATATACATTATAATCAGGGGATGTACATTATTTATGTACTGAGTATACATTATATTATATAATGTACATTCAGTACAAGAATAATGTAGATTTAGTATATTAAAAATATACTTTTTGTTATGGTCCATACAACACTGTGTGGATCATAATTTGCCTATACCATCCATCTAGTTGTTATGCTGTGCAACCATGTGCACCATGCATAATGCACACAGTTGCAAAAACGACGTCGTTTTGACGTCTGGATATTTAGTTCATTCATTCTGGATATATAGTTCAAATTATGCACAACATAACACCGTTGACGGAAATCGAAACAGATTTTTTTTCATTCATGTTGGATATTTAGTTCATTCATTCTAGATATATAGTTCAAAATATTCACAACATAATGTTGTTGACAGGAATCGAAACTGATTTTTTTTTTTTAAGTCGGACGCGAGTTTTTAGTCAAAACGACATCGTTTTTGCAACCGTGTGCACAACATAATTTGCCCCATCCATCGTTATATCGTGGACCATGGTCCTATACGACGTCATTTTGAACTTTAATTTTAACGGCGATCGTTTATTGTTCAGTTCGCGTTACAGAAGTTTTTTTTTTTTTTAATGGTAAAGCATGTGTATGTATATCGTGTTATGTGTTTTTCAGTTTTTGTACACTATGTTATGCAATTTTGTACATTAAAGCATAAGGATTCTGTACATGGAATTGATTAGTAGTTGTATAACACAAAATATATTGTGTCTTATTTTACAAATTTATGTCTTGTATTATGAAATTATGTGCCTATAGGACATAAATTATTTACATAAGTTAGATCTGAGAATAAGTAACATAGAAAACATGTGTATGTATTTCGTAGTAAAATAGAAAACATGTGTATGTATATCGTATTATGCGTTTCTGTACATTATTATGTACATTAAACGTAAGGATTCTGCACCTGAAATTAATTAGTAGTTGTATAACACAAAATATATTATGTCTTATTTTACAAATTTATGTCTTGTATTACGAAATTATGTGCCAATAAGACATAAATTATTTACATAAATCAAATTTGAGAATTAGTAGAATAAAAAATATGTGTATGTATCTCATGTTATGTGTTTTTGTACATTATGTTATGCAATTTTATACATTAAGCATAAGGATTATGTACCTAAAATAAATTAAAATTTGTGTTGAAACATGAGAAACGAAAAGTTATGGAGTCTGTTAAAACTTAAACATCAAATGACTTTGTTTTGATCCAAAGTCCACAATGCTATGTGGACCCTGGTCTACAATATAATTGCCTTATACCATGGGCAAATTTTACCGTCGACCATGGTCTATGTGGCAGCATGGACCATGAAGTATGTATCATTTTAATTAAACTTCTGTTTTATTTGACAATATTGCTATGTTTTTTAGTTTCATTTTTCATCCAAACTAATTTCATTATAGCAATACTAAAGTATCATTTTAATTCTACTCTAGCCACAAAATTGTCCCTCCAAAGTGTGAATGCATTTTGATAGAAACAATATTAGCAAGTATGAATGCATTAATTGTGTGGGTAGATGTATTTATACATATTTTTATGAAGTTATTATGTGTATTTATATTTTATAAATTATATTTTATTATTATATCTCTATCTCTATATATTAAAGCATAATGAAGTATGGAAAAAAAGTTTATTGTGTTCAAATTTATTGGTAAAGGTTTATATTTAATATAATTTGTGTATATATTCATTTAAACCTCAATTATAATTAATTTGACTCCACATATATAAAGAGGAGAAAGTATATATAATTTTTTTTTTGAATGCTACTGGCTCTATTACAATGTAGTAATTGTTCATATACTTTCTCGACCAAACACAAAGAACCAATAACGCCTCCAATAAGGCTCAAACTCACAATCTTCCAAATGGAAGTCCAACCCGGGTACCATTAGACCACAAAGTCTTGATATATATAAAATAAATATAGTTCCAACATAAATAATCTTTTTCAAATGAATAAGTTTTTGGTGGAGATTTTCAACAAATATCACATGTTATTTATTTACAAGTCTTATTTAAATACGTTAGTTATATAATTAAAGTAGTTATTTCAAATTCAAATTCCTTTCAAAAAAAAAATTCAAATTCAAATAATAATACAATAAACAATAAACTTTAAAATCAACATAATAATAACATAATTAAACTTTTAAAGGACTATGTGGTCTAATGGTATCCGGGTTGGACTTCCATTTGGAAGGTTGTAAGTTCGAGCCTCAGTGGAGGTGTTATTAGCTCTTTGTGTTTCAGTAGGTTGAGAAAGTATATGAACAGATACTACAATGTAATAGAGCTAGTAGCATTCAAAAAAAAAAAAAAACTTTTAAAAGTATTAAATATTACATTGTATAGTTATACTTACATTTTTAATGAAACTAATTCTGAGCTCAAGAACTCAAGTACGTTTTTCTGTTTCTACAACCATTATTTTTTTTGCTAATTCAGAGGATGTCAAAAATTTAATTGGTAAATTTGTTAAATTAATAATAGATCGTGCATTGCACGGGATAATTATTAGTATACATTATTGCTTGATCTCTATTTTATTGTTTCATTTTCCACCCACACTAGTTTAATTATAGTAATATTGAAATATTATTTTAATTGCACTTCAGGGCATTTGACATATTAGTAATAAGATTCTTTTTTTTTTTTAATTAGGGAATGGAATTTTAAATTGAAAGGATAATCAAATCTCATAGTTTGGTTTTAATCAAATCTAATAGTTAGTGTCAACCAAACACTAACTATGATTTTGATTCTCATTCATAGTGTGTAAGCCCATGAACCAAACACACCCTAAGTATTATCAAGAAAGGTTGAAGATGAAACATTAAAGTTTCATACAAAATCATCAAGTCACTTGTGGTCCACTAGTATCTGGTTTGACTCCTTATGTGGGAGGTTTAGTGCTCGAGGGCGAATATTGTGTATATGTGGGTGTCCCCTTCTTTTGTAATAAAAAACAAAGTTCCATACAAAATCAGCTACTATATATAGACATACTATATCAACGAACCTTCTCGGCAAGCTACATTGTTTGTACTCCAGTAGTGATACATGATAAAAATAATATTAAATTTTATCATTAAATATTTTGAGTATCATTGATTTTTGAAATAAACATTGAGTTGTTAAGTCTGTCCATACTTGATATTGTACATATTCATTGGATCAGGATGTTTTTTTAAATAAAGTCAGGAATCTCTTAAATGGAAACGTACTAATTTTTGGGTAATTATATTCATGAATGAAGTTTTCCAACGTAGCTTATACCTTTATTGCAAAGCTATGCTACGCTATAGAAAAATGTTTTATAATTACGTGGCACATGATATATATATATATATATATATATACTTGTTTTAAATATATGTTATTGGTTTGAGAGGTTTAGTTTTTTTTTTTTTTTTTTTTTGGTAGAGTTTTTGAGAGGTTTAGTTGATATATATACCTTATTTCTTTACTGATTAAATGGAAATTCCAATTTTTTGAATGCTATTTGCATTTAAACGTGCACAATTGGAAATTCCAATTCCAATTGTATGTATAAGTGGCTGTCTTCGAAAATGACTACTTAGTTGAATAAATATGTATAACCCGTATAGGTGGCAGTCTTCGTACCCACTTATACTACTAAATAGTTTTTTACGCGCATTGCGCGATTGAGATAATGCCCAATGTTTTTTTTAAATAAGTAATTTAAAGTATATCAAGGCAAGATTATATTGGAATTGCATGCATAGATAATTGAATGTTGAATTTACGTATTTAAATAGGTAATTCTAAGTTTACAAATGCAAAATAATATAGTCAAGATTATATTGATTATAATTGTCAATAAAATAATTGTATAAGTATGGTTGAAACCAAATACGGGACATAAGGGAGAACAAATAAAGATTAAGGCATAAAATATTAAGTATATACTAATGTTGAAGAGCTAACGGCGGATTGCCAAACAAGGACATTGCGAGGTAATTTCCCCCTTTAATTTGTTGTGTGATTTGAATACTCTTTTTGTCAATAAATCCCCAAGTAGTTAATATGATAAGCTTAATTTTTTTTCTTTTTAAAACAATTATTATTATTATTATTATTATTATTATTATTATTATTATTATTATTATTATTATTATTATTATTATTATTATTATTATTATTATTATTATTATACCCTTATGTCATTTTACATGTTAATCTAAATAGCTAATTTTTTCAAATATCTTTTTACCAATCGTTGATATAATTCACTGGTTAAATCCGCTAATATAATTCGCTAACGCTATCCGCTAAATGCTGATTGTCATACAAGGACATTGCGAGGTAGTTCTCACTTCAATTTGTTGTGTGATTTGAATAATCTCTTTGTCAACAAATCCCTAAAGTAGTTAATATGATTGGCTTTATTAATTTTTTAAAAAAAAATTCATGGTATTTAATAAAATACTTGGTAAATAAATATATAGCATTATTTTGTATAATAACTTTGATATTTAATTAAAAAATAGTACACAAAAAAATAATAGACAATCATATTCATTAAGGATAAATTAGAAAATATTAAGGAAAAATTAAAATCTGATCAATCTGAGCCATTCATCTGATTAAAAAATTTGACCGCCATTTTTTCTACCCATTATAGGCCTAACTCTTTTGGTCTCTTATTAGTATAGTAGATATATACATTAAACTAGTTTTTTACGCGCAT